TGTGCCTCGAGATTTTTTCAATTAAAACAGTGTACCTTGGCTCAAAAAAGGTTGAAAAACACTGATCTAAGAGTTGCAGGACACCGGCTCTCCAGGACCAGGATTGCCCACCTCTGGCTTAAGGGATGTTGACAAGTTTCTTTAATCTTGAGAGCATCTGACATCTCTGCCTTTGTGAACCCTGACCACTTTTTTCAGTATCCAAGATGGTGAGGATGGAGTGTGCCATTCTGAGTTACTTTTCTGCTAAGTTTAAAACTCACCAGATGAACTATTCCACCATTGAGAAAGAAACTCTTGGCTTTACAATACTTTGTAAAGTCAAGAGCTTTACAACACCTCTTGTAAAGGTGTTGTAAAGCCATTTACTGATGTCACTGACTGATGTCAGTGATGACAGTGTTTACATCATTTTTTTTGTCTCAGATGTATAACCAATGCTGATGCGTTGGTCATTGATGGTACAGAGGATTAAGCTCATAATTAAGCACAAGAAGGGTTCAGAGAAAGTTGTGGAAGATGCCTTAACCCCCATGTACAGTTGATTCTACTTTGTTAGACGGTGGTGTGCATTTTCCTTCTCAAACAGGGTTTGGATTTAATGGGAGGGAGGCAATGCTGCATGTAGCAAAGCAATAGAATGCAAGTTACTTAAAAATCATTTAGTGGATTTTTGTTTTAAATCCTGTCACAGTTGGAGAGAATCTGATAACAAATTAGAAACTTCTAGGTGCTTTGCATCCAGAAGTGGGAAAACCTGCAAAATCGACAGTGTATTAAATACTTGTCTCCCCACTCTATATGATACTGCTTAGTCATAATGACCCACCCCCATTCACACAGACTGGTAACCAATTTCAAGTTATTTCTCTTGCTCAATAGACATGTGGACAAGAACTCAGAAATGGAACAAACAGCCTTCTTATTGGCAGATGTTTGCTTTACTGACAGGCATCAAGTCATCAATAAATTGGTGCTGTATAATACTCACTTTGAAACAGGCCAGGGCAAAAAAACTCACAAAGCTGCTGAACAGCAAAATCTAATCTATGCTTTGACAAATGCAAATATAAAACATGTACATTCTGAAGAGTCATTCATTTACAACAATGTGGTCTTCTTAGTTATCAGATATTAATGCACTCAAAAAAGATAAAGAAAAACAGGGACTTTGCATGAGTGCTCAGCATTCTCCTTTAACAGCTGATGCTACTAGGACACCAGTGAACACACAGTCCTGTCTACTACAACAAGTTACGTGTGGACAGCAGCGGAACCCCTGCAGAATCTCCCAGTCCCAGTATCAGTTGTTTCACACCGGGCTAGTTGTGGTAGCCATCGTCCTTGTCTGCTCGGGTCATGTTTAATAAAGGCTCCAGGCCTGCAGATGGCGATGGTGGGGGGGAAGTGATGACATGTTAAGGTCGCCAGGGCCCAGCTGCTTTCCACACGCACACATTCAGTCCAACTTCTCCTTCTGAACCAGCTTGGGAGCGTCCACAAAGTCCCGTCCATTAAACAGGATCAGGCCACCTGTCAGAACACTGGCTGTTCCCCAGAACAAAACATAGGCCAAAGTCTCAGTCCACGTGTCACCTGAAACACACGACAAGTCAATAAGTTCTGCACCTACTGTATACTTACTGAAGACTCTACACATTTATATGGGATACAACTTCAATAAACCATTTAAACTCATAATTTGGTTTTGATGACCTTCAGCTTTCAAATACTTGATCACATCATGGACCCTGCCTATAACTGTGCGTTCATTTATATAGCTCATTTTCAGCAGCAAGGCAGTTCAAAGTGCTTGAGTAGACCCTCTGCCCTAGTCTGGCTGATGTCAGAAGTTCTCCATGCCATTCCAAATCAATTACTGCTAGTGTTAGTTCACCAAAATGTTTCTTACCAGCCATTAACAGACAGATGATGCACATAGAGAAAGCTACAACCATGACGATAGGCAGCTGGAAAAGAAACAGACAAGAATCCCAATTAGTACAACAACACAACTCTGTTTGTATTCTTGATGTTTCCTTACAGTTAAAAACTTCCAGTCTTTGGGGTCTTGCAGTGGAGTGATCCAGTCTGCTTCATCCACAGCATAGTTCCCCAGGAACAAGTCAATGGAGTCCTGGTTGAAAACACAAACAGAGGTGGCTTCTTCCCTGAGAGGATTTAGGACAGTGTTTCTTCACCCTGGTCCTCACCCCTCCCCCCCTGTCCTGCATGTTTTAGGTGTTTCCCTTCTGCCACACCTGAATTGTATCTCTGGGTGATTAACAGGCTTCTGCAGGACTTGATGGTCATGCAATCATTTGAATCAGCTGTTCTGGAACAGAGACACATCTAAAACATGCAGAGCAGGGGGGCGGTGAGGACCAGGGTGGAGAAACACTGATTTAGGATGTCCAAGTCAGCCTGACATTATATGACAAACTGTGGCCAGGAAAGCAATTCTAGGGTTTTATTCTCCTTTATCTAAACTTTTTATACATTTTCAAATTGGAGAAAATACTAAAAGCCAGTGTAACCATGGTACAAGCAGAAATGTAATGAACTAAAGGGGAAAAAAAAAAGAAGCAAGGAGAAAAATCATAAAATAAATATTTTAATGCTCCTTGAACATAGCTGAAAAGGTATTATTATGCAAACCCTGGGTAGTATTATTTCCAGTTGAATGGAAGCTGGATGTCAACAAGTAGATGAGTGGGCAGAGCCCAGCAGGAGCTGCCCCAAGTCATTAAGGCTCAAGTTCGCCTCTCCGTTGGGATAAATCCAAACATTTCTTTGTACCAATGAATTACTGCAGGAGGCTGTCAAGAATATTCAGTTCTGCAGAATACATTTATGACTTAATAGTTTATTAATCAGCTGAAGTTTCTTAACCTTTATGCCTTTATCTGGAGAGGATGTCTCTTTACTCATATCCAGAGTTTGGATATAGAAGGAATTCTCAAAAACAATGAACATATTTTCCAGTGTTTATCTCTCATTTGGCCCACGATGGTGCTACAAGGCTTATTCTACCCATCAGTGAGATTGGCAGATTCATCCATCCTTTGTGTGTGGTTTTATTTGTTTTAATACTTTGGTCAGGTTATGGCTCAGCAAGCACCCAGCTTTAGGCTTTATGTCAAACCCAAATATGCAAATTGTGAGTCACACCAGCAGAAAGAGAGACGGGTGGATAGAAATAGGTGTTTCATTATCAAAGTCCTAATCATGTTAAATTCCAATCATTTGGACAATTGTACAATTCACACATCTGCAACACAGCAATGATTCCAGTTCAGTCAAAGCTTTGATGAGGTTTTAACACACAAATCCTAATACAGTGATGACCTCAATATAACGCAGTTCACCTTTCGCGGTCTCGCTGCTTCGTGGATCTTTTTTTTGTGCAGTTTTCTTTACAGTGCATTGTGTACTGCGTCCTGATTGGCTAAACAGTCTCTGCAGTTCTTCTCTACCTGTGTGCTAATAATGTTACGGTATTTAAATATAACTAATACAGCTTGGCCATTCAGGAGATGAAAACTGAAAACATTGAATGCCTGCTGGAAAAAACTGGCCAGAATCAGCGCAAAACCCAACTGGAGGATTGTTTGATGAGATCCATCGCTCTGCTGTGACTCTCACAGGGCAGCTTGGAGAAGACGCTTTAATGACACGACTCCACATCACATTAAGGCCCGATTGATGCACAAGCACATCCACTGATTTGACAACAGGTTTTGTTCTTTGGTTTCAATGAAGAGTATTTAATTATGCTGTGTAATAATCTTAAAAAATAAAGGTAACCATTTCACAGATTTCACTCATGACGGGTTATTTTCAGAATGCAACACCCGCGAAAAACGAGGGATCACTGTATTGCCTTCAAGCAGAGGACTGACTAAACTCACCTGCCTGTAGCCATCTGAAAAGTTGTTCTTGTAATATCTGATTGCAGAGTTCCAGCCATCCATCACAGCACCCCACACAGTCCTCTTCCCTGTCCTGAAACACACAGAACACCACTGAAACATTTTTATGAAACAGTATCAACATCAAATAAATCCTATGAAGCTATTTGCAGATATTCTTTGAGTCATAAGAGTGGTGACGTATGGAGCCTCTGAGTGTAGTTAGTTGTACCAGGTCTGCTGGTGATTGTCCACCGTCGACAGTCAGCAGACAGAATGCTGCAAGTCACTGACTAGAAATGTTTTAAACTACGGTACTTTGAATAATTAACTGAGCAACTGAACCGCTTGATAACTAGGATAAACTGGAATGTATGTGTGACTAAATTAAAATGATTTTTTGTAGAGTGCTTTGAATTGATACTTGTTGTGAAATGGTGCTGAATGAACTGAATTGAACGTGAATATGAAGAGGCAAAGGGTGTGTTCACTCTGCAGGCTGAAGTGACTCGGTTCCGATTTTTTTTAACGTAATGTGACCTGTATCCAATCTTTTCATGACATCCTGAACAGCACAGGTCTGATTCTTTTTCGAATGTGACCCATATCCGACACATCCGATTCAAATGCGACCTAACGTCCAGGTCGCATTCATCCGAACTGAACGTTGCTCAACAAATCTCACTATTCTGCGTCCTGATATGAGGGAAGAAAAACAACAACCATGACGGACTATGAGGATTAAGTTGTTAATATGTTGCTCCAGCCGGACAACAACTTCAAATATGTAAGCTAAGCTCCACCGTTAGCCTCCATGTTTACTTCCTCAAACACTGAGCACTTCTTCTTTTTATGGCAGTTGGCAGAACACTGAGAACGCTGACGCTATTGCGCCCTCTACTGCGCATGCGGGACACTTTCAGGTCGTTTGCCCGTTCACACTGCAGAACACAAACAGGTCGCATTTACTGGCAGTGTGAACGGCCCCGGCAAAAAAATCGGAATTGGGTCACTTCAGGCTGCAGTGTGAACACACCCAAAGAGGCAAACTGATCCTTGGTCAAAAGTTCGCATAAAGGTAGTGTAGTTAGTTTAGTCATTAAAACTGACCTAGTTTTTACCTGAGACTTGTACAGAGAAGAATGAAGACAGATCAGCTGGCTGTTAGATGGTGAAAACACTGACCTGGTGAAGTCTGTTTTTAAGGCACCAGTTCCAGCATACTGCTTGGCACATGCATCAGCATTGTCTGCCCACGCTGCAAAGAAATAAAATAAATTAAGAACATAAAGTGATAAACACTAATGTTATAAAGGCCTCCATTTTAACTGTGAAGTTTTATCAAATTTAAAGTCTAGACAAGAGTACAGAGGCCAAGGAGTCAGAGGGAAGTGAACACATTGAGGTCCCTGTTCACCAGGTCCCAGTCACCAACCAGAAGAACAGTGATCATTGGAACCAGAACTGAACAATATGCAACATTTGTCATTATAATATTAATATGTGAAGATTTGCAATCTCATTTGACTACTTGGATATAATACCTGGTAGGGAATAGTAATTCCCTACCAGGTATTATACCTGGTAGGTATTATACCGGTATGCATTCAAACTGGTATTGAGAATCGGTATTGCTATATTGAGCATTTGCATTGTAATGTCAGGGTTTTCTATGATTGTCCAGAGCTGCTTGAAAGCTACCAGATTGTTCAACTGGAAGAGTTGGTGCTGTGTAACAGGCAGCCGAACAGTGTGGTGCCAGACACCGAGGGGCCCCTCAGATATCCTGTAAACTACATTCCTTGGATGTTTGGAACTGTACCAGCAACACAAAAGGCTTAACTGTCATTATTAAGAGATGATGTTGTTATAATAATGCTTGAATGGAACTGAGGGTATAGTGAACCTACTTTTATGTGGGGAAATGCTCACCATTCTTATAAATCTTCTCAAAATCAGTCTGATCTTCGATCTTCTGTCCCAGGTGGAGAAGTCCCATTTTCTGCAAAGACACACCCATAAATATCAACAGCTGGTAGAACCAAGAACACACAGTAAAAGTTTGAATTTATGGTTCAGACATTTCTTGTGTTTCCAGGATTCAACTTTCTGTGAAACTAACTATTCCTTTATTCAGTCTCTGTAGTTCTTAGGCCAATAATGATGTCTCATCGTTTTACTTACTGCTGATTATCACTCCTTTAGGCTGGTCATCACCTAGTTTTGCTTACATTTTTTCCTATTCAGGACATTTAACATTGAATATTGCTTTATGTCTGTGACTGGCAGAATGATCATCACTTCAATGATATTAGAAGCATGTTTGTTGATGGTCAAACCAAACAGTACTTGACCAGCAATGCTGTAGTTTTACAGACCTCCTTCAGCATATGAACATTTCAGGAGAAACACATGCACTGAATTCCACGACTGAACTTAAACCTTTCATTAACAGTATAAACTGAGAAACAAGTAGAAGTTTCAAAACTTGCCAACCAAAGAAGCACATGAAAGTACATGCAACAGCAACATTAGCTTGTGAACAACAGTGAAAAAGGAGCAATACAGCAAATAATTAAGACGGGGTAAAAATTGGGGTTTGTTCCTTGTTTATGACTTAAAACCTACAACCACCAAGAAGTAGGAGGACAGAGAGAGGAGACATTTCCAGAAACGACTCTTAACAAGAAATTAGCCTCAGAGAAAACAGCTGAACCAGAGAAGTAAAGAACAGTCAAACTCCAGGAGAGTTCCAAAAAGTCAGAGGCCATAGTGTTGGTCACTTATTAAAAAAAAATTAACAGTGTTAAAATGAATGTAAACTGTGACAGCCCCACTAAAAAATATTATAGTTGTGATGCAACCTCTCTAAGACATACTCCTCCCCTAGCAGTGGTAGGACAGGACAGTGTTTCTCCACCCTGGTCCTCACCGCCCCCCTGCTCTGCATGTTTTAGATGTGCCTCTGTTCCAGAACAGCTGATTCAAATGATTGCATGACCATCAAGTCCTGCAGAAGCCTGTTAATCACCCAGAGATACAATTCAGGTGTGGCAGAAGGGAAACACCTAAAACATGCAGGACAGGGGGGGAGGGGTGAGGACCAGGGTGGAGAAACACTGATATAGAATAAAGACAGACTATGCCCAAATAATCTAGTCCAAGTCATTTTTATTGCCATCACCTCAAAACAAAGGCATTGTTTTCAAGCTCAGAATGGCAGCTAATGAAACTTAACATCCACCATCATTGTTCAGCATACTGAGGAAGAACATGGACACTGAACAAATAAGCAGCTGTCATCATCATTTGATATGCTTTGATATATTGAGTACTTTATGTATCATCCACAATTAGTTTGACTTTATGTTTACTTTTGGATGGTGTCACCATGCTTGTTCTATTGCCAGTTTGCAAAACTGACTGAAATAGGAAACCCCATTTTAGGCTAGTTTGTACCCTAAACTGGATACATTTTATGTTAGCAGGGTGTATCTGCCCTGATAGCTTCATTTTTTACAAGAAAAAAAGAAAGATTCATACATGTATTAAATGTTTATAACACAATAAATACACTACTTTTTTCTGTTAAAATAAACTGATATCTCAGTATTAGGGTCTGATATTAAAATAATAAAAGGCTACTTAGAAACGAGACCGATCGCCACCTCAAGAAGATTACGACATATAGCAACTGTAGGTCCTCATAGTTGATATCATTGATTTCATCAGCCTTTTTAGTAACACTGTCTGCTGGTGGGAGCATGTGTGACATGCACATGCTCCCACCAGCAGACAGAGCGTGCAGAAAGAGTTTCAAAAACCTACAAATAAGACAAAAATATCAGTATTTCTTCCATGCCACGGTCTTAGCATGACGTTCAGGAGGAGCGATGATACTTGCTCTCCTGCAAGTATCCTCACAAGTAACCATTATTTCTGTTATTAAAAGGAAGCAGGGGTGCACCGATTGCAGTTTTCTGGCCGATCACCAATATTTAAAAAGCTTGACTGATTTTGGCCTACAACAATTTGTTTCTGTACCAAATATGGCAACTTTTTTTTAAGACTACAAGTTCTAGAATTTTTTTTTTAACAATTTTAACTGTAAAACATTAATTTCCTTAAATTTCTGTGTTGACATGGTGCATGCGAGGAGATACCTGCAGCTGTGACTGTAGGGCGCGTCGGGCTAGCAGACTCTGGATGACATTGGTACGGTCCAGACAGTCCATGCAGTTGCTCCGAAATGTACCCTCTTGGTTCATCAGTACCTTCCCTTCAGCGTCCACAAGGAAATATCTGAAACCATATGTAGTGCACACCATGATGTTTGATGAACAGCAACCCCTTATCTACATAATGGATAAGCCTAAAGCCAAAAAAAAACACTGACCCAAATTCATCCTGTATTTCAGAAACACTGTCCAGTAAGATCTGAAGGCGATGCCACCTCATCCGACTACATTCCTTGTGAAAGTCAAATGCTATGTACCTGCAGAGAAACAATCTGCTACACAAAAACTCCAACAAAATTCTATAAGAAGCACAAAGACCAATGCATTATAAATGTACAGGCAGAGCTGAATCATGTGAAGACTAAGGGGGTAAACTTGGAAGTGATCTTACTTGATCATACCATTACCCGAGCTGGTTACCATCTTGTCAAATGCTAGCTCCAAAGGCTTTTCAGAACCTTTTTGGTTGATCTGTGGAAGAATAATCAAATTTGTGATTAAAACAGCCTGTTCCTAATTCAGTCAATATGTGCCTTGTCTCAGTAGAATCACCCCTAACATGGTGGAGAAATTTGAGTATCCCAGGTGGAGTCTCCCATCCCAGATTGGACTCAAAGGAGGGGTCAGACAAGACCGATTCAAACATTATGATTGGAGTTGGACAGCATAAAACTTCAAGGAAGTTTGGGGGCAATGTAGTGCGGTGGGGGTTCACTGCATAGTACCTTGGGTTCATCAAGCCTTGGTTCCTTGGGCTGAGTCCATTTGGAAAACAAACTATGACAAACTGGGAGGAGGAATGCCTAGTTCAGGTGCTTTGGGAGTCAAGTGGCAAGTGAGGACGGAGACACAAGTATCCAAACAATTCTGTCTCTAGGGATATGGAATGCTACCTCACTAGCCTTCACCAAGCTTTAGACATGCCACTGGCACCAGGTAGTTATAGTTATAGTAAAACTTACCTCCACACAGAACCTGGGCACCGGAACTTTGCTCCTGGTGAGGGGCTGTCTTGGGAGAGCAACATTGGGCAGGAGTGGGAATACTCACAAGGCCCTGGCTGAGGATCTTTGTTTAAAAATTTGCTCCAGTGAGTGAGAGTCAACCCTTGCTGCTTCAAGTCATAACAGATTGTTGTCTGTGCTTATGCACTGAACAAGCAACTCATAGTAACTGGCATTGTTCTGGAAAAGAATACCATAGGGATAACCTTGTGGTTCTGGAGGACCTCATGTGACTAATCAGTCAATCAAACTTTATTTTTTACAGCACCTTTCAGTAACAAGGCATTTCAAAGTGCTATACATTATAAAAATATTGACACAAGGGAGAAGCTCACTGGTGGTGGACTGGATAAGAATCAGTGGCATGTCTAAAGCTTGGTGAAGATCAGAGTGGAATCACTGCTCCTCTACAACTAAAAGAGCTTGGTAAGGTGATTTGGGAATGGGATTGGGACAGTTCCTGGGAGGCTTTCCAAGCACAGCCATGTGAGAGGAGACCCCAGGGCAGACCCCCAACTCACTGAAGGATGTTTGGTTGTTGAATGAACAAAGGAAGGAATTAGAGATGGAAATTCATTTACCCAGTGAAATCACTATCTAGCTGTCTGTAAACTTTACAATTTATAGGACAGAATTATAACTTATAATAAAACCATGTTTGCTCACCAAGTTCAAAATGACTTGTTTTCCATACAGAACAACCTGGGAATCAAAGTGCCTCTGGAATCCATCTAACTACAACAAAAATCAAAAAGAAAAAGTACATAATACATTAAAAGTAAAAAAAAATGTCATGATTTATGTAAAATAAGAGTGAAAACTGACATGGTTAACCACTTTGCTGATCTGTGGCTTTGGCTTGTACTTCAGATTGGGCCTCTGTGACCAATAGAAAGGGATGGAGCCTCTGGTCTAGGAAAAACGAAACATATTGCATAGGAACAAAATTAATATGCTTACACACATTCGCTCTTCCATCAGAACAAATGAACTGGGTTTAAAGTTTAAAAAGCTTGCACTGGTTTTGCAATCCATTTTTAAATGTGATATCTATGGAGTGAAAATAGTCTCAAAATATCTGTGCGTGTGTAAAAAGATTTGTGTGTGTGTAAAAATATCTGTGCGTGTGTAATACTGGATTTGTAAACCTTAAAAATAAAATAAACCTTCTCCTACGCCTATACATTTTGAAAAATTACACACAAATCACCTGGTACGCACACACAAAACTGCATTTACACACAGATCCGGTTACAATTGCACAACTATTTTTGAGACTCATTTCACGCTTCCGGGAGCTCCCAGATTTGTGTGTAGATGGTGCGTTTACATGCTAGTAAAAGCTGGGACATCTGAGTTTTGCTCTGAGTCTAGTGTTTTTATCCTCTGACGTTTCTCACTGTGCTTGTGCCGAAGTGGCAAATAGTGGAAGTGGAAAACGGAATATATCAGCACTTCCTTTTAATATCCTAAAATTATTTATAGACATATTGTGCATTTTTGAGCGGTACAGGAGACTAAGTGATCTGAAAAAGTACCACTGGGTGGCAGAATGGTTCGCTGGCCGGAAAAATAGCCAGGAAAACCCAGAAGAGACGGAGCGTCCCGGTGGTCTGTCCTCTGAAGTAAGTAGGAACTAAACCTGCCCTCCGATTATAATGAGACATGGAGTAATTATAAATGATTTCAGGTTACGTTTGATATGTCTGGTATTTTGATACTCTGCGCTCCTCATGTTTCTGTTAGCGGGAGCTAAAGTTTATGTCAGCTATGCTACTTTAGCTGTTGGGAGCTAAGCGTGGATTTTTACTGTCACACAGTTTGATAGTCTGTCTTCAGTCTTAACTTTAACCCAGGTTGATCAAGTTTTATGATGCCGAAGTCGGCAAGCATCTTCAGGAGATTATGGCAGTTATAGATGTTGGTCATCATCACTGAAAGCGTATTTTGTTGCTTCAGCAGTAATGAAGGTAGATTTGGACCTGTAGGAACATCATCTGCTGCTAGACTTTATTCACCATAACAAACTGAAAGGTACTTCATTTATTTGACTTTTCAACATACTTAAGGATTTGATCTAATGTTCACACATAGGCCTGTCAGAATAATCAATAAATCAATTAATCAGATGATAAATTAAAACAAACTCAATCATTTCCATTGGCATGATTTATTGNTGTTGCCTTTTTTTCCCTCTTTTTTTGTTCCCCCTTTTTTTTTTTTTTTTTTTTTTTTTTTTTTTTTTTTTTACTGCAGTGAGCCTCGATGTAGCCATACTCCGTCAGGTATGGGATTATTTTTATGCCAAATTAGATTCGTCGTGTTGATGCATTTTGACGTGCTTCACTCCACATGCTTCAATTTTCCGCCGCAACACGCAAACTTCCCCATTCACTCAGGGCGTTATAGTTCCACACAACATCGCTTAGGATTTGTTGCTGCGCGTTTGCGCAATGTGAAGGAAAGAGGAGACCAGCTGCACAGGCAGGCTGCGAAATGAGATGCAGGTGATCGGTTTGTGTGATCGGCAACAAGAGACCGTGATCGGCGATCACCGATCATACACTTTTTCACGGAAATCGGCCGATTATGATCGGTGGCCGATCGATTGGCACACCTCTACTTTTTACCCATTTTTCTTTTATCTATTTTTCATTTAACATTTGTTTGAAAAAATTTTTAATTTTCCCATTTTCCAATTTCCCTTATTCATTTAGTATTTCCTTATTTTCTTATCACATTCTATTTTCCCTTCAAAACTTGGAGAAAGGGGGGAAAGAATAATTGCAAATTAGGGAGGCACGTAATTAGGCTACAACTTCCCCAATTGGTTGGCGAGTGTCAACACTGCACTTTGCTTCAAGAAAGATGGCGACCTACTAACGGGTTATCAATAAGCTGAAGCTCATTAACTTCATTAGAAAATAGTGTTATTACTCCTGACTTTATTTTTCGTGTGGCCGCTCAGACAGAACGTGTTTAAGCTGGCGACTCTCATGGACTCAGAGCTTCACCGTCGGGAGTTTTTATAGTTTGGACAAAGCGGACGATGAAGTTGACTTAGGATTGAAGGTTGGGGACACCTTTGTAGCTACCAGCTGTGATCCAACTATAAGGAGCAGACTTTTCTGTACATCATAAGCATCGGTGAAAGTAGGCAGGTACGGTCGGGTACTGCATACCCCTAAAAGATGCTACGCAGTACCTGCAAGAGAGGGGAGCGGCTGTCTGCTGTAAAAAAAAATCAATGGGTGCATGTGCAACCATGAGTGCACCCACTAATCAGTCATATCTGATTAGTTTTTCAAGAAAGGTCTAAAACACGACTTAATCGGTTAATAAATAGGTTTTTTGTTTTTTTCCCCCCGCCCATTTCATATTGTTTCTGAACTGTTCGTGCTTTGTTAGAGCAGGGCTGCAATAATATGTTGATCGCGGAAGGTTTTGAGTCGATCTCGGCCATAGATGACAAAC